ATCATGCTAATGCTCTTGCCCTCACCGACACCTGCTTGTCCACCTTCACTCTACATGATGAAGGATACCTGAACTGCTGATAACGAAATCGTTTCTCTGTACTTCGTCAACTGCTCATTGTGCTCTCCGACTCTGCACCCATGCCTCGTGTGACTGGCACAGCTCACAGCACAATAGCCAGCGACATATTGAAAGGGGTGGATACAATGACTGCATTCCAACATAACGAGTATTGCGCTTTGCCTTCGAAAGCGCCCTTGTCACACCCAAATCGAATGGAGCCTCCCAACCGCCACTGAGATGCAGGATAAATTAAGCACCTAAACCATATTAACACAAAACGACCTTCATGTACTTCAACCAAAAAATTTTCTTAAGCCTTTCTAAGGCTCATGAAATGATGTCCAAACGAACAATTCTAACGTCTTTATGGCTAAACTACCTGAAGTGGAGAGACGAGAAGAGGTGGGACGAGACCCTGTCATGACGTGCACAGTATGCCAATTCTAGTCAAACCATCCGAACGCGTCTCTTACCTCCATGTGCGGTTAACTGCTCCACGTCTCCATGCAGTTTAAAGAAGCGTGCCATCACTCTTCTAGCTGCATTCCTGCTTCAGCTTCACTGTCGTCCTATTGTTCACTCCCATGCAACCCCCACATATTCAATTCCCTTCTATTACACAAACACACCTTTTTTGCCTTAATGAACAAAAATGCCCTAATCATACTTGAAATAAATACACAGGTTGAGTGTTCGAAAGGTGCATGTGCTAGTGGATTATATATAAGTGTGAAAGGTAACAGAAGGAGGAGATGAATGCGTGTAGTAGGGAATGAGCAGTCGAGAAAACATGGCTGTGGATCGAAAACGTGTGGGGGAGGCAAAAACGATGCCTTATTTCTACCACCTGAATTTGTAACATGCTTCCTGAATAGTCATCCAGCACGACGAAAGAAGGTGAACCTATTCAAGAGAGGCTAAGGGATGCGAAATTCGGACGGTGGTTATAAAGCTGAGTGAATATCATCAGCAGCCAGGTGAATGTATGCTGTGACAAGGGTTGCTTCATAGGTCTCCTAATGATGTCTAATATTTTGGTTTGTAGCGCCGCAGTTAAACCTCCTCCTTGCTGTTCTATACTTTGCATTTTGCGTTTTTATCAGAAAGCGAACTCAGCTTTCTACTGTTATGAGTAATGGCATCCAATTTCCGCAGTACAAAAATTGTGTAGATTCAGGCTGTTGTTCTAGAAACAATGTGTTGATTTCATCTAGGAATGCTATTTCCGCATGTCCATGTTTACTTATAATTGAGCATCAATGTTACGGTGTTGACATAACGGAAGTCTAAAGGCATCTTCATGGAGGCACGAGTGAGCTGTGGAAGACACCATCTAATAGCAATGTAGGCTAGCGCCGATATGACACTTACTGTGGAGCGCTTCTGGTGAAGCCCTTGTTGTCGTCCTAATGCTGCAGTAATGTACGTTATATATATTTATACTTATATGTTTATATATTCTTGTCCCTCTTCGGTGAACACACCAAGGGCATCACTCCGGTCACACCGCTTATGCTACTACGCCACTATCACTTCTGTACATCGGCAAAGCCACTTCATAATTGGACTCCGACGTAGTACGGACACAAGAGAACATGCATAATGAACAAGTCATAGCGTAGTTCACGTGGTGGCACCATTGTCAAGCAACAATGCCATCACTGCTATCTGCACCACCATCGCCTTTGCTGCGATTGCACGTGAGCGTGCAATTCAAGAGGATAAAATTGCCATAATCTGGAGCATGAAGAAC